ACATTACTCACAGAATGGTGGTTTCTTTTTTGGGTTTGGTCAAAAAGGTCCCGTTTCATATGGAGTAGATGGCTCATGTCCATGTCCACGCCATTTTTGAGGGCACACCTTTGTGGTGTCAAAGAGAAATCAAAAGGACAACCAAGACAATTAGTGGGCCCCCCCAAACAAATAATGAGAAAAGACGCCCTCTGTCCTTGGAGTCCTGTTGAAAGAGCCGATCGAGAACTCCGGGAGCGGCCTGAATGTGAACGGCCTGCTTTGCCGCGAGCTCGTCGATGTGCGAAGCCCGACGTGAAGACCTAGGAGTAGTCGTGTTCACCAACCACTTTTTGGGGTGCTCAACCAGCTTTTGGGGAAGCCAGTGACCATAGGCGACGGTATTGTGAACGAGGGCAAGCAACGAAAACAGCAACAAAAGGCTGAAACGGGTTCGACTGGTTTTGACACATCCCAACATCTTCTCAGCTGCAGCTGGGATTAGGTTGCATTCTAACTTTCTCCAAGTACTGCAAGTGCACCAACCATGTATAAGGAAACTTACGCGAACTCCACCCTGGTCCCCCGTTCGTTCCCCTCCCCTCCCCCGCCCCGCAATGCTTAGAACTCCAACAGCGCCAGTCAAAGTGGATGGCGCCATGCGCATCTGTTGCGACCAAACATGAGGTCCAAATCCCGCGATACACTCAAAGCCGTCACAGATTGCTCTGAGCCGTGGGCAAGTTAGATTTGGCCCCAGGTTAGGATTCGCTAGGCCCCCCTCCCCCCCAAAGTCCTTCGCAAATCAGCAGCAGATCAGCTGGTGGACATTCCATTGTGTCTCACGCCTTTTCAGGGGTTCCACCGCTCTGTGAAATCCCTTATCGCCAGGTTGCCAAGCGGTCTGAGCCCCAGGCGCTGAAATCGGTTCAGCGTCCAGTCGAACGCTGAGCCTGCTCAAGCGCGACATTGTCAAAGTGTGATACTGCAAAGGGCGGAGATCAGCACCTTGGTTGGAACTATTCCTTACTTTCTTGCTACTAGTTGTTGTGTTCTTGATTGTGGTTCAAATGGCGCTTTGGGAGCCGCAAAAAACGCCGCTGACCTGAAGCGCCCAACAAGGCGGAGACAAACTGGAGAAAGGCTCCACGACCACAATCCGAGTCGCAAACTGCCGCAACGACTGCAAGACATGATAACGAGACAAGCTCCAAAGTGTTCAATGTCAATTTTGGATCAATCCATTGCAACTGCGGGGAAGTCGTTGAGCATAATTTTGGATTTATACATTTTATGATTTTACTAATCAAGGGCGCTTCCCCTGGAAACTGGAATTGGAATTCATCTTAGCATTCGATGCGGAAGATCCGTGCTGGACACATTTCTGCACCCTTTCATCCTTTATCTCACCATTGCCGGGCTTCATCCATCCCAACCGTGCAGGATGCCCATCCGCGTGGATCCAAGCACCCCCCAGCTCAAGCAGTCTCGCCTGTTTCGCGTGTCCTGTCGGAGCTTCAGGGCGTCATCCGTCACGAAGTGCGGTCTCCTTTAGGTGGCGAAATGCGATGTGTCCAAACATATTTGGAATGATGAGGTAGTCGGTAGTCTAAAACGGATCCGGCGCTGGCAAACCAGCGCCAGGATTACAACTGATGTTGGGAACCGAAGAAACAACGTACGGCAGTGTGCACTTGGCAACCACTGTTGCAATGCAGAATGTGGGTGTTCAGCTCAAGGCCAACGGCTATCTTGAGTTTGGTGCTGATGCAAAAAATCGTGCTTTACTGTGATACGATATCCATGACTTTTTGTGACGTGCAGGATTCGACCTCAATAGATGGCCGATGCATCATGATCTGCATGACTCCCCTTGTTCTTACAAGCAGCTAGCTGAAGGTAAAGAGAGGACAAACAAGATTAGTGCCCTGTCCTCATCCACACTATTACCATGGGGCCTCTTCTCTGACTAGTGGTTGAACCAACTCCTGCATCTTGGAGTTGAGGATAGAGAAAGGACGAGATGATGGTGCCATCAGAATCTTTTTGTAGGAGCTCTTGGGATTCAAGAACTGGCGAGCCACAAACCAAGGGTTCCTTCTTTGTCTGAAGACTTGCCAACCAACGCAAGCTTCGCCAATTGTTCATGGAACGTGGCTTACAGCGGCACTTCGAATTCTCGGCTGGTCGACTGACGTCGACGTGTCGCTCAACTCGTGATAAGTCTGCTTGCTTTCAGTCGGCCACTCTTGCATCCAAGTGGCGGTGACCCTTCGCAGGTTGCAAGTCGCCTGGCATCGCGAAAGCATGTTATATGCTGGAACAGATGAGCAGTACATGCCCTTCAGTGGCATACTTTCCGGGAACTCCAGTTGGCTCAGGCATGGCATCGACCCCCAAGACCCACCTGAAGTAAGGCTCTGCAACAGCGCAAAGGCTGCCCTCACATGCCAAAGCCACAGGGACTCCCCGAGCCCTTCTTTGTCGGCTCGCGAACCTGGGCCGTCCAGGGGCCAAATTTTCTCACCACACCATGCCATGACCAGTCAAGCAGGGAGAAAAGGGGATGATACTCTGAGGCGAGCCCGTGGTGCACCTGATATATACCCCAATATGTGATGCCTGTACAAATAGGCACCGCTGAGCATACCATGTGCATATATATGTATATGCATTGAAGTATGTATGTATGTATGTATGTTATGGTATGGTATGGTATGGTATGGTATGGTATGGTATGGTATGGTAATGTAACGTAACATAACGTAATGCAATGCAATGTAATGTATGTCTGTATGTAGGCAGGCAGATAGGTAGGTAGGCGGATATACATATATATATATATATATAGAGAGATGATATGATATTCTAATCCGGGGAACCTACCCCATGGGTGTGCGGTTGAGTGAGACCTGCATGGTGCGACTTGGTGCCCTGCTCCTTGTCTGCTCTGCCTGGCCTGCCGTGTCCATAGCAAACCCGACATGGGGGCAACTGGCTGTGGGTGAAGCAAACACTGAAAAACGGAAACTAACACTGGCGGGTGCCTGGTTTTGGCCCTCGGCCGTGCCGGTTGTGTTCCTTCATTGGCGCTTCGGCACCTCTTAGCTTCATGGAAACGCACTCTGCGCTGTGAACCTGCACAACTGCAAAGCAAGGCCATGTCCGCGAACCCAGGCTGTCCCCTTTGTTATGACCTTGGTTTTCTCAAATGCCCAGTTATGGGAGAAAAAGAATCGGCATCCTTCTTTTGGTTTGTTGACTTCGAAGGAATCGGAGCCCTTCCCCAAAAAAAACAAGGTGAAACAAGGGGCACGGCTGGGCCACTGAGTTGTCCCCACGGACCTTTGCCCTCGAAGACATTGAAGTCCTCCCCCGCTCCTGAGTCCCATGGACCGATTGGTCTGGGGGACCATGGGCTCAAACCGGCCACAGAAGTCCTGAGGACTCGTGGGACAACTACTTTGTTGGGGAAAAAAATCTGGATTCCCCTCGCAAAGGGCAGGATTCCTTGAGGAGTATGCCCAACTTGGCCACAACCCTGCCAATGGGCGGGGAGAGGGGGGTCGTTCTCCTAGTTCTTCCGAGCCCGAGTCAAGCCCAGCTTCAGGGCTGGCCGAAAGCAAAGAGCTGAATTCCCGTGTCGAAAAAAGCGAGGCGGGCTGCAACTGTGTCCAACTTCGGAATTTAAAGGACCAGTGGTAATTGACATGATTCAACTTCCCCGGGAGATGAGTCATTTGCTTTGGCAGAGCTTGACACGGTGTTAAACAACAAATCCCCGTTTGGCAGACCGATCATTTGAAACTTCATAGACAAGAACATCGCCGTCTTTGCAGACCGGTCGGTTGAAAGTTCGTAAGAATCCCCGTAGAAAAAACAGTGTAAAACAAACAGACCAACAAACAGCTGAAACTTCGCAAGTAAATAAGCAAAGACAAGAAAAAAGCCGTTCTTGCAGACCGGTCAGTTGAAACTTCGTTTACAAAAATGAAAAATGAAAAAAGGCATTTGGACCAACCCTCGAAAGAAGATTTTGCTTTGAGCACAGGTGTCCGTTTAAAACGGGCAAATAGATGGATTTCCCCGGTAGATGATGAAACCACCCGGTAAACCAGGAATCGCCATCGATTTTTCCAGCAAAACAACCAAAAAGGACACCTATGCCTCCCACACTTACACACGTATTATATGGGTATGGGTCCAAGAAGGACACCTATGGCCTTGAGATTGACCTACTCTCTCTGAGTCAGCCGCCGAGCTGGCCAGTCACTGAGCTTCGCCTCCCACGGGAATCCACACAGATCCACCAGAACGTGGGGAACCAAGAGGCGACCCCTAAAAGTGATAATTACTCGCGTCAAACAAAAAGGGGGGGATCTGTTGAACATGGCTTGATGTCCCTCTAAAGCTCCAGTGATGTGCTTTTTGAGCACTGAAAGGGGGAAGAGTATCCAGCAGCTTCTATCATAAATCCTGCATCGGGGCCGTCTGTTCCCTACCACAACCGAAGACCCGCGAGCCTGCGTCGGTCAAAGTGGGTCTTGGTCATCTCCTCGACCAGGTTCAGCCTTGGTCGCCCTTCGCTTGGGGGTCAACCTTTAGGCCGTTCCAAAGTGGGAAAACAACGGGGCCGATGTGGGCACGTCTGAAAATAATAATCCGCCCAAAATCGGTGGTTTACCTTTCCAATTTAAAGCAAACCTAACAAATGGAGTCTCAGAGAAACACACCCACACAGCTGCTGGGCAGGTTTCCACGTCTCGGCGGGGCCTCTGCATTTTACCACATCTCCGGTGAGCACAGCAAACACTGACTGGCTGAAGCCAATGGAGCGACACTCGTGTGAGGACCCTAGTACCTGAAGAAATAGCGCGCTTTTGATTGCATGATGCAAACCATGTTTAATAGGGAATGAGGGAGTGACCCCTATAAACCATCCCCTCTGGTTTCCTTTGAGGGAATCCCCAGGTTCATTCCCCCATTCCCTGCTGAGCATCAGCAAGATGAATAGTGTCAAAGTTGTGGCAGTCTCGCAGTTGCCCTGGTGATGAGCCGTTTACATCTTTGAGGCAGGGTCTATTGCACCTTTAAGAGGCTACGGTGAACTTCTTGGTAGCACAGAGACTGCCAGCCGGAGAACTGCCAACCGCATCTGAGGCGGTTGCATTCTGCTAGCTGCCTGCGAAAACCAGTGGGAATGCCAGCAAGGTTCTTGTTTCTTCCTGAAGCTGAGGGACTTCTTTGACAAAAACCAACCAGTTTTCGGGTGTCAGCTATTGAAACAAAAAGCACGATACAGTGCTTGGATGTGCTGCCTCTAAGATGCCCTTCGAGTTTTGACACTTGCGTGCTACCAGCTGCAAGCGTCGGTCGACCGCGAGTTCCCTTCATGGCGCTGTCCTTACCTGCCTTGGCCGGTTGAGGCCCATCTACTTCAGTTGAAGTCAGTCCCGGGGGCGGGGATGTTTCACCCATGTTGGTTGACTCGAGGAAAGGAATACCCACTCAAAAGAGAAACAATGGTGCCGCTAGACAGCTGGGCCACTGTCTGGCGCTTGCCAGGTCGTCACTCAGGTTTCTTCCCATCTTGATGCGCACGAAGGAAAGAACAGCATGAAGGCAAGGTTTTGTTTGGGCGTGCATGCTTATGTACATACATACGTATACTAGGTGCATATACAATATCAAATTGCTCCGCTGGGCTAGAATCCTTGGCATTGTCCACCATGCTTGAATCCCAAACTTGAACACAAAAACCATGGAATTTCTGCATGTTTGAATGCATCCCCATCCCCCCACAGTCACGTTGTTTTGCTGGCTGGCTCTAAAGCCTCAACATCATCATATATCATGTATATATATATATACATATACATATATAGTGTCAAACGCTAAATGAAGATGTTGGGCATGGCCTAAAAGTTTTGCGTCACAGTTTATGACGTCCATCAAGCCATCGTTGCAAGCCTTGGCTTGCAGGCTTTGCTTTGCCAGCTTGCTCATTTCCTCAAGCTCCTTCACCTGCGCGGAATCGCATTTGGGGAGCTCAAAGATCAACACTGAAAGACCACAACAACGGATTCCAGCTTTCCTTTCGGCTGCGGGAAAGCCCTTGTTCTCCCTAAAAAACAAAAAAACAAAGGGAACACCGGGTTGGGCCAGGGGGTCTCTTCACACAGGTGAGACCCATGTGGGTGCCTGCGCCAAGCGAATCCACTGAAGTCCCTTGTCCCTGCCTTCTCCGGCATGAGGCGCCTCAGCATCCAAGCCACCAGCTGAAGCCAAAGAAATTCAAAGACATCTGCTCACTTCCTGAGTAGCCCAAAAAAAGTCCGAACTTTATGCTTACCACAATGGTCTTTCCCAAAAGCTTAAAGTTCATGACCTCAGGAAGTGAATCTGAAAGACGAAGGTCTGTTGCCCTGCATGCAAAATACCCCCACAGCCCGAACACGGGGGTGGCAAGTGCAACGTGTCCATCCCGAAAAAAGGACCTGACTCACAATTCAGAGAACTATTCCTGATACGGTTAAGCTGTATGGCTTAGATGACCGAAATGAACCACCCATCATATCCTTTCAGCATCAGCTCCGCTTTGAGACAGTCATCCAAGGACGTTCCAACTGCATCATAGCTTGGATTGAGACCTAATCTTCTTCCTGCCCTCAACCACGGGAACATGAGGTTGCCTCTGCTTGAAGAAGTTCGCACATGTCACAGTGAAGCATAGACCGCGGGGGACACAAACAAAATCTTTGGCATCTCCCCACCATCGAGCCAACTGGAGAAAAATGCTTTCCCCTCTGGGAAAACTGGCTTGGTGCCTGCAAACTCATAGAATTCATATGCGCCAATGGTCCCCTCCGGGGGAAAAAACAAACTAACACCTACAGTCGTTCAAACTAACCCCTCTGAAAATAATGTAGCAGCATCAAACGATTCACGCGGGATACTTCCCACACAATTTGATGACCCACAAGAAGTCCCCAGCCACTGTGATTTAATCATCTCTGGGTGCCCAGCTCCCAATCCGGACACTCCTGAAAAGACGCGTGCGGCGTGGGTTGCACGGGAAGCCCCACATATTCGAAGGAACAAGGCAAGCCCTGGAAGTCACCGCCAGGATTTGGTCATCTTGGTTCACTTGCACCCTTTTGGGAATCTGTATCTCGTATCCTTTAGTGCACCGCTCGCTTTGGCTAAGTCACATCCCCTTGCCCTGACACGCTCACAGCTAAGTTCATGCCACTTGCATCCTTTGGGACGGAGGGGCAGAAAGCAAACATGTCTCGATATTCCATCCAGCACTCAAGAAGATTTTAAGGGGCTTTCCCGCTTGTGTCCTCCCGAGTTGTGGTACAAAAGGAGAACCCTTTTAGGAACTGACTAGTTCCGTGGGAACTCACCAAACAACAAGGAACAAATGGTGGGAACTAGGAATCAGCTTGACGGGATGTTGGTAGCCAACTGCCACCAACTCAAGTTGGAAACGAGCTGACTGCAACATGCGATTGTGGGCACGACCCAATAGTTTAGAGACACCCCAAAATCGACCATCATGAACTTGCGGAGCACTTCCACAAACGTCTTGGCTTCTCCCTGAAATCAAACTCTACCTCTTGGCATGGTTGCACCCTACTACGAGTCCCGACCGGAAAATGGTGCATGTGAATATAGACACTAGATCTATAAAAAAAGATGAGCCCCATTCAACCCCCCAAACCCATGGCTCTGGAAAATCACCACCTTGTGATGATGTGGGATCCCCATCATGGGGCAGCTGTGCGATTCAACTCTGGGGGTGTTGAATGGACATCAACCGCTAACCTCTAGATTTGAGACAACAAATGCAAAGACCCACATCAAGGGTGCTTTTTGGCAGAGGAAAGCCATGTTGAGGTTGACAACATGAAACACCACAAAGAAAACCAGTCGAGTTTTAGATATGTTCAGTCAGGGAACCCCAATTTTGACACGTACCCCTGCGAGTTTTTTGGACGTCCATCGGTCGCCCGCGCAAAAGACGGGGCCGACGGTCGCCTGCGTCCAGCTGATGCAGGCTGCGGAGGCACGCCGCTTGGGTGCAGGTGCCACCTGGTGAGCTTGAGCTCCGGAGAGTCAGGTCTAGGCATGGCTTCGGGTGGTTTTAGGGTGGTTTTAGAGCTGGTTTGGGGTTGGTTTAGGGTGGTCTTAGGGTTGGTTTGGGGTTGGTTTAGGGTGGTCTTAGGGATGGTTTAGGGTGGGTGCGGTTTAGGGATTGCTTATTCCCAAATGCCGACCCGGAGGTCGAAACTGCTTCCCCGCCCCAACCCCAACCACACCCCCAAAAATAAAAGAAAGAAGTGCTGTCCAACTCAGAGGTTTACTTTAAACAAACACATTCTACAGTACCCAGTCCGAAACGCGCCCCTGGCGGGTGCTTGGAAACCTCCGATTCGCTCATTTGCTCGTCAAATGGCCCTCCCCTTCTGCTCATTTGCTACAAGGGAAACAAAATTGGCGATTGTTAATGAACAGGTTTGATGAATTTGGGTGGGCCCCCTCCCCCCTCATGCCGTCCCCACAACAAACAATTGTGAAATGCCGGCTTTCTTTTCATGTTACTCCTGACCAGACCTGACATGGGAAACCACTGACATGGGAAACCACTCCACACCCTTTATCAATGGGGACCAAATCTATCCCCTTTCACACCCAAATATTGATGGTCTCCTAATTCTTGAGCCAATTCATGGTCAAGCGGACCTCGTGCCAGAGCAACTGGGTATGTCGCAAACTGGGTTGGACCCCAACGCCGGGTAATAATGATAATGGCAACCGTGTCCTGTTGTTTACCTTAGAGCCAAGCCGAATGGCCATACAAAGTACAAAACCAGCAAAAAATGAAAGCTTAAGCATGCCTACCGCCTCAAGAAATCAGGTCACAACACAAGCTGCAGTCCTTTTACTCCACAGCTTTTCAGCGCTCGTAGAGACAGGCAGCTCCAACTGTACCACGGTCAAAGCTCCTATGAGCGTCATGTCAATGGCCATCCTGAAATACCAACCCCTGAGGGGTCTTGTAGCCACGCCCCAAACCCTTTTGGGGTTCTGGGAACTCGGTTTGCAATGTCAACCCCGCATTTTTGTTTAAAGTAAACAAAAAACACCTGTCCCACTAATAACTAATAGGGGTGTGTCCCCTCCAAAAAATCCCCACACCCTAAATTCTTGTACAGTTGATTTATCTCAGTTCAACATAGGGGACATCCCTTGATTGAACCAGGTAAAGGAATCGCCAACTCTATTTTCCAACCAAATCGACCAAGACACCCATGGCTCTGCCCCGTAGCCGAGCCCAAGCTACGGCCCTCGCATCGAAAAAAACCGGCGGCCCGGCGAGCCGAAGCCGCGGCGGCGCTCCAAGGAGTGCCTCACGCACACGGAGGCCAAGTCGTTCGCCCGCTGGGCCCACTCCTCAGAGATGATGGCCACCGGCTGGTTACCGGTCCACCAAAACCTGCCTCAGGTAGGCCAAATGTTTTGTTTCTTTTTTGTCAGATGTGGCTCAGTTGCTTTTAGGGTTGACTGTTTGGCCTTTTTTCCTTGTTTTTTTCCAGATGTGGCTCAGTTGGGTTTCGGGTTGACTGTTTAAGCCCTCCCAGTGGATTCCCGTAGCCCCCTATAGTAGGTAACCGTGTTCCTTTGGGTTTTTGAAAAGGGTGGTTCAACCTTGGGTACCTGCTACACAAATGGAATCGGGCCTTATTTCAACCTTGGTGCTCCGTGACAAGGCAAGTGCTGTTCAGATCTTTGGGCTCTGTCAAATTTTTGGTTACCCTCGCACCGACCAATATGGAAGTGCACAGACCCCAACGGAAAAGCGACTTTCTCCTCTTGTCAAGGGACCCGCTTTGTGCACTTCCATGTGGCGGGTCAAAAGCCCGTACCCCATGTCAACATCCCAATCCCCATAGACTAAAATGGGTGGTGAATTCACCTACCCCAACATGGGATCTCATTAGTTTGGATCCACACGTTAGTCGCTGGGAGGGTACCTGTTTCACCCCCGTGTTTTGACCTTCCGGCCTGGGGTAAACTCCGCCTGCAGGGTGTCCATTGCGCCGCCCTCGGTCGCATGGGACGCCATGACCCCGGCCGCCTCCAGAACTCTCCTCACCGAGGCCTTCTGCAACTCCGTGGGCTCGAGCCTGAAGGCTCGAAATGCCACACGCAGGTGTGTTTTTAGGGTACCCGTTTCCTTTCAGCTAGCTTCAAAGATGCATGTGAGGGAAGCAAAGGGAAGAACGCCAATCTTGGGGTCCCTCTATTTTGACGCATACCCACTGAATCCGCATGGCATCGGATGGTGGCCGTGTGTCTACTACGCAGCACTCAATGTACCAGAGGGTTGATGGCAAGGATCCCTGACAATGTTTCAATATGTTCCACGCAAGGACTTGTTCATTATCCAGAAAGGGCCGGGCGGGGGAAAGAAAAAGAACGCGCGCCAATTTTTACTGCACCGGCTCGGACAAGAGCGATTTCAATCACTGTTTCAACTGGTCTGTTGCTTTCGTTCTGGCGCGGTGCACAATGTACGTGCTAAAGTCAATCCTCTGCGGATGCTGGTGTGGTGCATCACTCTCCTGTGGCACGGTGCGAGTTTGGAGCATCGAAGAGACAATGGCAACCTGTTCTCTTTGGCAGGTGTTTTCAGCAGCATCATCTTACTTGTGCAGTCGTCTTGCACAAATCATGCAGGATCTTGCTCAAAGAGACTGCAGGAACTGTGCAGCGTCCTCTGAAGAGAGATGCTGCGCTGATCTTGCAGAGCTTTGCCCGATCTTGCGCAGAGAAGCGGCAAAGCTTTTGTGCTGGAGATGTGCAACTTTGGGTTGGGACGGACGATTATGGTGCTTCGCTTTTCCGAGAAAGGCGCCTAAGACCATAGGTGTCCTTTTAGGGCAAATAGATGGCCCTAGTGGATGATTAACGAGGGCCATCTATTTCTCCACCAAAACAACCAAAAAGGACACCTATGCCTAAGACCCCTTTCAAGGTTTGGCTCAGTCCCAGTTTGGTGCCGGCCTCATGGGGCGGTTCAGCTCGAGGAGCGCCAGGGCGTGTTGCCAGGCGGAGCCGCGGCGGCAGGTCTCCGTGAGCGAGTTGAAGAGCTCCTTGCTGGGCTGGAGGCCTCCGGCTTTTGGCGAGTGGCACCCGATGTTTGCCGGTAGATCGGTAGATGTGGGTACGTGAAGTGACCTCGGGTAGGCTGAAAGATGTTACGATTTTCCCGGTAGATCGGTAGACGCAAGTGAAGATGGCTTCAACGCAAAGGACAACTGCGGCATCTACTCTCCAGCTCAACCGTAGGTACCCCTTAAAAAGACATAAGTTGAATCTGGCTGTGCCGCACACTTTTTTCCATGGAACCACCGAATAAGGGATACAAACAACGATACTGGGCCCAAGCACAAAGGTGGAACCTACTGAAAAGGGTCTCACGTTCCTGACCAACAAAAAGCACATACCCGAGTGGCCCCTTCCCACAAAGAATGGTTTCCCTTTGAGCGATCCCCAAATGTGTGCCTGCTTGAGGGACTCCACGCCACAGTTGGTTTGCCCGGAAAAATTGGAATTCCCACCATTTGCGCGGCTCCCTTTGTACTTGGTTGAAATGGAACCCAGGATTGAAATCTGTTCTAACCATCTTTGAGGGGCACGGGCACACCATTGTTGGTTTCCCCGAAAAAAGAAGAAAACAAGGAAGAAGAAGAAGAAGAAGAAGAAGAAGAAGAACACATGGCAAGGGGCACGCTATTGTTGGTTTGCCCGGGAAAGAACAAAACAAAAAACAACGTTAACAAAAAAAAGGACACCATTTCGACGCTTTCGGGGGGGCAACCAAGCAGGATGGCACCCTAAACCCGTCCCTCGCTCCTTTCGCTCTTCCCGGCCTTGCGCCTGCAGCTCCCTGAGGCCCTGGAGCGCGCCTTCCCAGGCCTGGCCCACGGCGCAGGCGGCGCTCAGGGCGCCGTAGGTGATCAGCGTGCGCCCGTCCTCGCGGCTTTCGCAGGCGGACGGGTTGCGGGGACCCGGGTTTCGGGGGTTTGGGGATCCAGGTGGGGGGGGTTCGTGGGCTCGGCTCGAGACGGGAACCAAAAACAGGACGGAACCAAAGGTCGAAGTCATGAAATTTCTGCAAAACCCTTGGGGGAGACTAGTTGAGGGAAAACCTCTAGACCCCTCCAAAGTCTTTTGGGGCCCGGGAAAAGTTGGGGGATTCTTTTTGGGATGCCGCGGGGAAACCTGCGGCAGAACCTCTTTGCTTTCCGAGCCTTGTGAGTTTCAAAGGTCAATCCAACCTACCTCCCACCACACGTGTCCTTTTAGGGCAAATGGATGCCTGGTAGATGATGAAACCACCAGGTAAACCAGGGCCATCTACTTTTCCACCAAAACAACCAAAAAGGACACCTATGCCTCCCGCACTTACACGCGTATTGTCCATGTTTCCACGTGCCAGGGTTCCATTTTGGGTACCTTTTTTGGACTCACTGCCAAATGAGCCACAATCAAAGCTTTTACCTTGCTGGACAGAGCATGACATCTTTAGCGAGTTCGCCGTTACTCACCCAACTTGTAACCAAAAGGCCTGGACAAAGGGAGACCTGGTTGGCATCGGTACGGCAAACCCAAAAGCCGGTTGCCGTTGACACTGCAGGAAACAAAAGGGTTGATTCCCGTTGAGAATTGGGGAATTACCTGTCCACTTCTGTGACACCAGTGGAACGAATTTCTTCCCAGAGTGTAGCAATGTCTTTTTTTAGGGTGCTTTCGGGGCTGATTGGGAAACCACGGGGGCACAATTTATGGGATCCTGCCAACTTTGAGACAGACCCATCAGTTTGTGCTTCTTTGATGACTCAGGCAGTGAGTCTAAATACACTTCAGGTCGGTTACATGACAAGATACCCCAAGCTTCAACACCAGGGGGTGCTAAGAAATCACACCTCCTGGCCTGCGACGCATCCCCCCCCCCCGCACCCCACACCCCCCACCCACCCGCTCGCTCCCCGTTGAAGGATGCCATCAGCGCTACGGCCAGCTCCCACTGCTGGCCCTTCTCACCTGTCAACCGCCGGTCAGGTGGGTGTCCTTTGGGCTGTTTGGGGCTTTCGGTGTTTTTTCTTGGGGTTTAGAGTTTACAGTGTAGGGTTTCTATGTGGGCTCCTCTACCCCAGCCCTAGCCACCCAAACATGTTCCTTTGGAACGATACATCTTCTTTGTGGTCGAAGAGGACCGGGAGAAAGGAGTCCCTTTGCGTGGGAAAATGGGACTGCCCTCCATGTCCTTCCAAGCCAACAGTAGGCTACCAATCATACACCGAGCAACTCAAAAACACCACGCCATAGGGTCGTGTTTCTTTTTCCCTTTGGACAGGCACGAACTTCAAGCAACCTTTAGTTTGGGGAGCAGAAACCCTTTTCGCGGGGGAAGGGTGCCCCCCTTGAAAATCGACGTTTCCATGGGGTGTTGGTGGGTAAATCTCCATTTTTTTGACGAAATTGTTGTTATGACTCACAGATTTAGTCCCAATTATCACATGATGTGGCTCGTGTATCACCAATTGCGATTGTGAATTTGTGTCTTTGTCGGATATATCAACTGATTGCAGAGAATCCAACAACACTGGCAACACTTTCGCTTCCAACCGTTCTTTTGCAATCTGTGTTGTGTAGTGTGCATTAGTATAATACAGTGCCTCGAACAAACAATGGCTTCCATAGTGTTTGTTCAAATTGATTCCAATGGCATGATTGACTGCTTCATCAAAATCGTGAATGTTTGGTGTCGGAAATATGCCTAAAATGCTTTTACAATATCAATCGATTTCGTTCGCGATCGCGAATGATCCAACATAAACGTTTTGCGTTGAGGGTCGTTCTTTTTGACACACCAAAATGGACCTCAGATGTTTTCCAGATTTTCACAGATGCAACAAATGCGACCCTTTGGGGCCCTGGTAAGTGATTAAACCAATAGGTCAAGGGCCCTGCATTTCTAAACTAAGCTGAACCAAAAGGACACCTATGAAACCTACCTTTTTGGGTTGGCAACATCTGGCAGGGTACCCGTTTTTGTGGGGCGCTTTTTTGATTTCCCAAAAGAGAACCCAACATGAATCCCCTCATTCATCGTGTCCCCGAATCCCCCACTCTCCGGTCGCCGAGCAACAGGCGCTCATCGCGCTGTTCAGCGAGGCGGCGTCGGGGGAAAAACCCGACGACGCCATGCCCTGGTGCTTCCGGACCCCAAAAAAGTCACCGGGGGTGCATGGAGTGTGTAGCCCCTCTCGAGTTCATGGACTTACGTCAAATGAGTCACTTGCTCAAAACCTAGTATTAAAATGGTTCACCCAGAATGTAAGGAAATACAATGGCGGCCGCAACTATTTATGGCTGGGATTGTCCCTTACTTTCATCTACCCAATATTGATTGTGGCTCAAATTGTTTAGATATTTAACACTATCCCGCTGTCCAGGCGGTACAACCCGCCGCGGGTGCCTTGTTCTGGTTTGGACCTCACCGGGCTGTTCTGGTTTGGACCGTGTTCCTTTTAAGGAGGACCGGGTCCCTTTCAGGTTAAAAGTGTTGATTGGGGGGGGGGGGTTCTGGGTGCTAAGTAACAAGTCGGGAAACAAATCACAGGCAAAGGCAAACAAAAAAGAGGGATAGTGTTAAATATCTAAACAATTCGAAGACGTATGAAGTCCAGGAACTCGTGAGAGGCTCTCCACTCTATGGCAGAAACGAATTTCAACCCCGCAGAAATGGTGGGCGGACACAGGGTCCCATGTAAAACATGATTTCCAACAAGGACCCCACTTGAAATGTACACCGCTGTATACCCATATTGTTTGCGAGGGGTTCACTATCCAACGATGAAAGAGGTGGGTTTCGTTTCTGGTTTACTCCAAGGTAGACTTCAACCATCTCCTTAATCCCACGCGTTGCCCCTTGGCAAATCACTCACTCTTTTTTTTTTTGGGGGGGGGGGAAACCAACCACTGGATTTGGGCGCTGGAATTGTTGGGTCGAGTCGAACATGGCCCCGAGCGAAATGGGCTGTGCCTCCAGCAGCTGCAAGGCCTGGAGCCACTTCCCCCGGCGCTCGCAGGCGTGGATCGCGGCGTTCACGCTGATGCGGTTGGGCGCGGCCCTCTCGTAGGCGCCCGCCTCCCGAATTCCCGAAGCTCCGAAGCCGAGGCCTGCGAAACGGAGGATGGCAGGGGTCGCAATGGGAGTTTGGGCCCAAAAGGCTTCCCTGTCAAAAAACAATAACCCAACTTGGTTGTTCAAAAATGCAGATCTCTAGCAGAGCGACCACTATCTGGCATATAAGTACTAAGGACAGATCTTGAACAACCAAATACAGGGCACTGAAGTCAACTTCGGATTAAACCCGGGATCGAAACTAAGCGGCTTCCTTTTGGGTGGAGAATTAATGATCACCATGCAATTTTGGTTGGTTCCTCGGATGGTATATGGGTGTGCCTTTTTGAACCCCCACAAATGGATGGTTTCTTGGGGCAGGCCTGATACGTTGACCGTCGCTCGCCTGCAACTGGTGCAAGAGCCACAAGGACCAGGACCATCGGGACGCTCTTCCGCAGGCGGTGATGCAAATGTTGCAAACGCCGGTGTCCAGGTCATTTCCCTCCTCACTGACCACTTGCAACAGGTGGGAGGCTCTCAAAAAGGATTTCGGACCCCTGTTTGGTTGGTATTCAAAGGGAAACACAAACAAACACAAACCAAGCATGGGGTTCCTAAGTTTTTAGAAACATGGTCTAAAACCCCCTGTGCCTGAACAACCTCTTTTGGCTTAAGGCTTGCCAGGGGCTGATTCCTTGTTCGCACCCTTTTGCCTGCCTCCAAAAACGCCAGGGCGTGCTGCCACAGGCTCTTCCGACTATAGGCGCTCAGAAGGGCGGAGCAAATGCCGGCACTGTGTGGGATGCCAACCTCCCAAGATCGAACAACAAGCCACCTGGTACATGTAGAACCCCACCTGCTACATGTGGCAACCCTTGCAGCTGGGGTTTTTGGTGGTTCTTCATTACAAGGAACCTTGCCTCCGGCAAGGAGTAGAAGATGGACACAGCGGATTGCCAATCACTCTGGCGTGCCAGCCCCGCGATGAGCTTGGAGTAGGAGGCCTGCGTGCTGAGCGAGCCCTCCCTTCCAGCGTGCCACTGGCCTCCGGAGCGACGTCGAAGGGCGGCCAGCTGCGCTGCGTTGCGCCAAGCCATGCGCCAGGCCCTGAGCCATCTCCGCGCTGCCCATGGAAACGTCGTCCATTACTCAGAAAAGGTGCGATACGTCTTGGGCCAAGCCTGCAGAACAAATTTTAGACAGCTAGACACCACACAAAAAGTGCGCGGCTTGAAGACAGATAGACACATCAAACATCCACCAAGCCATGGACCCTATGAGTCTGGGAGGCACCCAAGTGAGGAAGGTTTATATGATAGGGGCGCTCCAAAGGCCCAGTATCACGTTGGTCCTGGCAGGAAAACACCAGGATCTTAATTGGGTTTTCCCTTGGGTGATGTTTAAAGGCGACATGGCTGTGGGTCGAGAATAGGTACCCAGTTTGTGAATAGAACCAAGTACTAAACCTGTGGTCCCCTGGTGGTTTAATTTTGACCCGTACTGACCCGTACCTACATAGGTGTTGTTTTGGTTTGGTCATTTTTTTGAGGGTCGGATCCGCCTTGGGGCCATACACATCCAAAACGAGGCCCGGTGCCTGTATCTCTCGACTCGCCAAAAACCGGGAGCCTCCATGGCGACAAAGTCACTCTTCCGCCTGGCAGGGCTGCTGGCATGTTTCAGGTTTAATCCACATGGCCCATATATTTGCATTGTTTGGCATCGAACATGTGGGCATTCTTTGGACCGCAAAACGTCGAGCCATGAAGCAACGACCTCTGCCAAAAAGCTTCAAACCCTCCTTTTTGCGTGACCATCCGCTGATTCACCTGGACAAGCCGTGCCAACGTAGCTTACCGCTCACTCATCTTGTGGTACTTTCACCCACTTTGCCACGGGCCTTTCTTTCCTTCCAAGAAAATGGTCAACAAAAACCAAGAAATTGCAGCGGTTGCCTAAAAACGAAAACAGCAATGCCGAAGGTTTCCCGAAAGGAGGAGGGGTGAAACGAATGGGCTAACATTTGAGCAGTGTTCTAAACCCCCTTTCGCGAAGACTTCCGGCTCTCGCGAGATGAGAAGTTGGAGTTCCCCGCGTGCAGGACTGCAACTTCTTATCTTTGGGAAGCGCGCAAGCATGGGCCGATTAAAGCTTGATTGAAAGCTCGGCAACTTGCTGCAGAAGGCGCACTCTTTTTTTCGCATGCAGTGTGAGATAATGCCGATGTCTGCAAGCTGAAGAAGGGAGTGTCATTGGGTTAGTCAAAGCTTGCACACACACACAGAGGCCAAGAGGGCGCACAGCACAAAGTGCAGGTGAAAGCCACAGGGCGCTCTGAAGTGTGTGTGTGTGTGTAATCAAGCCACCCCACTTCAAGCTTGGCAGAAGAAATCACAGGCAGGCCAAGACTCTTGGCAATGCCAGGGCGTGGTGGGCGGGCAAGAAAATGTGCGCCCTGCAGCTAGCCTGACTTGAACCATCAATCAATCAATCAAGGCGCGTGCTCTCAATCCTCTTTCTGCCAAACCCATCCAGGCCAAGAAAGTTTGAATGAAAGCTCGGCAACTTGCTGCAGAAGGCGCACTCTTTTTTTCGCATGCAGTGTGAGATAATGCCGATGTCTGCAAGCTGAAGAAGGGAGTGTCATTGGGTTAGTCAAAGCTTGCACACACACACAGAGGCCAAGAGGGCGCACAGCACAAAGTGCAGGTGAAAGCCACAGGGCGCTCTGAAGTGTGTGTGTGTGTGTGTAATCAAGCCACCCCAAAGTTCCCCCCAATGCTACAATGCCGTCAAAGCTGCTGCAAGCGAAGACGCTGCAATGCGAACTAAATCAGGCACAATTGCCGGCAGCAAGGACCAACCTATGCAGGCACGGGTGTGCTCATCTTTGGCTTGCAACCATGCCAGCTGCTGGCCTGGCTGCTGGACGATCTCTGTCACCTGCCTGAGGCAGAAGTCAGCGTAATTGAGATTCACATCCAGGGGTGCAAAAACGACTTGCTGAGACTGATTTGCTGCCGACAGGACCTTGTGAGTGCCAGCCAGAGCATAAGCGTACCCCAGCACCCGCAAGCAGAAGTAGTACGCTACTACAGAACGCAACGCTGGCGGCTCAGCTTGCACTTGCACCAGGATATTGGACCCCAGGCTCACTGACTCCTTGGAAACACCTTTGGACGCCTGGTACAGCGACTGAACCTTGCGCGCCGGAGTGACTGTGGGGGTCCCCCGCCCAAACTCGCGCCAGACTCGCCCAAGTAAGGTGTCAGAAGGCATGAGGTACATGGACAACTGCACAGAGTACATAGAAGAGAACGACTGCATCAATCCCTCCTGAGTTCTCGGGTCCAAAGGTTCCTCAGCATCGTCTGCCACGCCGTCAAGGCGTCTCTTGCGAGCCTGTTCTACTGTGGATTGGGCTTCTTTCCATGCTGTGCGTAGTCTTGACAACTGGACCAACTCATCTTGGCAAGGCGACTTGTCAAAGATCAGGATTTCAACTCAGACTCGAACGCCTTGCTATCGACTATGCCCACAAAATCTGCCAAGCTCTCCAGGCCTATTTTTGTCAAGTGCTCAATCAAAGGGTCTGCAAGGCGGTGTTGCCGAAACAATTGCAGCAATGCCTCCTTATCTTTGGCAACAGGCTTAGTGCCAGGAGCTGGCATGGCTAGGGTTGGAACTGCCTTCTACACATGGGCCGCGACTGCAGCGAGCAACGGAAAGTCAAACACAATGGTTGAAGCTCTGCAGGTCGTGTAAATGCACGTGTAAAGCATCATTCCCAACAACAGACTAGCAAGTTAAAAACCAGTGCACAAAAGCTGAAAGCTTGCCACAAAAAGGGTGGAGCCAACACTACATAAATTAAGGCCGAGGGCCGAAGAGCCACGCAACCACAAGGGCTGCGCGAAGCCCCTGAAGCCCTGAAACCCGACATGTCTCGCGTGACTGAGGGAATTTGAAAGTTGGCAAACACACAAATCTCCATAAACCTTCGTCCCAGATCAGTAAAAGACGCGCCTGGCCAAGCAAAGAGTGGATGCATCCCTACGACAACAAAAACAAGCGTAGGTCAAGGGCCGAAGGGCCGCGCACCGAAAAGGCTGCGCGAAGCCCTCAAAGCCCTAGAACTGGACATGTCATGGTGACTCGGGAGAAGCTGCCCGTCAAAACAAAGGGGGCGCAACCCTGCAACAGCAGAAACCCCAGCAAAAGCCGAAAGTTTGCAAGAGAAGGGGGGCCAGCGAAACCCCAGAAGCCCTGAAACTGGACATGTCTCACGTCACTTTGGATGAACTTGCCAATCAAATCTTTTTTTTTTTTTAAAAAAAAAAGGAGTTGGCACAAACCCGCATCTGCAAGAGAGGGGGGCCAACAAACAAACAACAATTAGAGCCGAAGGGCCACGCACCCAAAAGGCTGCGCGAAGCCCCCGAAGCCCTGAAACTGGACATGCCTCACGCCACTCGGGGAAAAGCCTGCCGTGTGAAAGGAAAACAAATCAAATAAGAGTAGGCACAACCCCGCAACAAGAAGCCTTTGCCAAAGCTGAAGCTTGCAAAGAAACAGGGGGGCCAACAAGACATAAATGTAGGCCGAGGGCCGAAGGGCCACAAAACATGAGTGTAAGGCCCCCGAAGCCCTGAAACCCGCGTGTCTTGTGTTGTCAGGAAATTTAGTGGCAAACACACTGACCTATTACGCACAGCCGCAGAATTCTTTCACTGTCTATTTGCAGGAGTCGATTGCTCGTTTAATGTGCGGTGGAACGCAGGCTTGGCATTTGGCACAAATCTGCAAGCCTGGCTCTATTCCGATGCCCCACTCCAAGGGAATTCCCGCAAACGGAGTGCCACGGCACCAAGGAACAGGTTGGGATTGGGAGCGCTCACGTGCGATATGAGAAACCCCACGGGCAAAACGAAACCACTCTAAGTCATGCGGCAACCCTTCGTGACTTGAGCCACCGTCGGAAGAGGACGAAGTCTCGTCACTGCTTGCTTCGCTGTCACTTCCCTGGCAATTTACTGGTTTGTCTGCTGGAGGAGTCAAAGCAGAATGTCGATTTAAAATCTGCTGCCAGCTGAGCCCTTTTGTGCGGAAAGACTGCCAATCGAGCGGCCCGGATTCTGTCTCGAGCAACTCCTGAACTGCTGCGCACAACAAAGCTTTAGTGTGCCCAGCGGAGAGCAGTCTGTCATGAGCATAGTGCTGGCTCATCTGCACTGGCATTGGCTGGGCATGCTTGGTCGTAACTGACTCCGTCCAGTTTCCCAAGTGTTGGGCAACTTCCACTGGCGTTCGCAAGACCTCTGCTACACTTGGCAAAAAACGTCGCAAAGAGTAAGTGCTGATAAGGCCTACTTCTGCATCAGGCAAACCTTCGCTACGTAACACTGAGTGCAACAGCTTCACAAAGCGCGCCATTGGCATCGGGGCTGCTCGCCAATGCGCACGCTCGTCCAGGCAACCGGAGGGCCCACAGGCAACATCTGGGATACAAAAGGACAAGTCAGGCACCTGGCTGCGCAAGTCAATGATGACCCTTGACGCTAAGCCCAAAACATGCTTCCACTTGCCAACATGCATCGGAGCAGCCCATTCGAACGACGGCCGCGTGCCATGTTTGCGCGACTTGCCCTTCAAGCAAACCGCGCGAGCAAAGTCGTGGGACAGCGTCCAATCAGCTGATCGCTGCGCGTGGGCGAACCTCAGGCAAGCCACTAATGGGATAAGGGCTAAAGATGCGAACGTAGCAACGTTCGTGGAACCACCAAGGGCCAGCTTGCAGAGCGCCTGAAAAGCACGAAAGCTCAAAGGCACACGAGGCTGGATAGAGTGTCCCTCGGCCACTCGGTTCCACGTTGCAACCATGGGGTCGCCCAGCGGGAATGGTATGCCGACATGCCGACGCCACCATAACAGCTTCTGGAAAAGTCCTTGCGCTGCAGTTGGCCCTCCGTCAGACGCTTGCTTAAGGAAGGAAAAAAAGCAGGGCAACCGGAGGCAACAGAACTTCTGCAGGCCCTTTGCCAAACTGCAACACATAATTGGCCCACCGCCTCAGGGCGCTGAGTTGCGCCTGCAGAGTGCGCCGCTCAAAGATCTGCAGCCGACTCGCCAGGCCTTCGCGAGCAATGGCCTGGTGCTCCTCAAGCAACGGTGACCACAACTCGCCATGCGTGCCAAGGGCGGCATAGATCTCCCAGCAAGCATGGACCATCTCAGAGTGCTGGTGAACTGGCCTCAGGGCAGTCAGAGCATTCTGCGACCACTGAAAGGCGCCCGGCGCAATGCTACCCACAAGCCTGCACCGTTTGACAGCAGGCACAGGGAGGCCTTCAACAGGGCGAGCGCACTGCGGGGCTCCACTGGCACGCCTGGCAAGGAATGCCAAAGCGCCACGGGCAAGCTCGATGTACCATCCAGCTTCCTCATCGTCAATAAAGCCAGACATGGCTGTCACCAGCTCATCCGGTCGCAGGCCAGCAATGTCTGCATCGCACATCAACCCAGAACGGCGCATGCGCTCGATCACTGCACAATGAACGCCAGATTGGAAGAACTGCGAAAAGTCAGGCTCTGCAGGCACTGTCAAGGGTATTGCCTCTGCAGGCACTGTCAAGGAGGGCACAAGCGCAGGGCCATGGCCGTGTCCATGAAAATGCCGTTTCATACCCAAGAAAATGTGCGCCCTGCAGCTAGCCTGACTTGAACCATCAATCAATCAATCAAGGCGCGTGCTCTCAATCCTCTTTCTGCCAAACCCATCCAGGCCAAGAAAGTTTGAATGAGCGACACATGGGGAGAGGCTGCGAAGTTGCAGGGGCCCCGCGCTGCGCATTCGAGTTTTTGGCCAGTGTTTTTGCCCGCTGCATGTGCGCGTTGGCAAGAGTCTCGTGTGGAAGACACAGCTATTCAAGCAGGCCTTCCGAAGGTTCTTTGTCGTTGCTCTATGCAAGCAGGAGCTTATGCAAACGGATCATGGACATACCTGTTCGTGAGTTTTGTCACCTGCAGTCGCTCCATACCAATCCACCTGCCTGAGCCGTCCTACTTGCAGTCACGCAAACAAGAACATGAAGATTGTGGCACACCTTTCACCGGGCACAACATTTATCAACCCCTTTCGCGAACCTTTTGCAGCCCAGGAAAAAATCAACGTGTTGAATACGATATTTCTTCCCGACTACTACTACTACTACTACTACTACTACTACTACTAATACTACTACTACTACTACTACTACTACTACTACTACTACTACTACTACTACAACTACTACCACTACCACTACCACTACCACTACCACTACCACTACCACTACCACTACCAATCGCAGGAGTTTTAGAACGTCGCTCATTTGGACCCCGCTGAACCGCGCTGAGGTTTCAGCGAATCCGAGCTGTGGCATACCTGGAGAAAGAGCCTGCGCTTTTCGGGGGACCGTTCATGTTCCAACTAGGGAATCGAATATACCAAAGGCAGCCTGGAGAAACCATCTCGCGCCCAAGTCATTGGACATCTGGACATTGCTCATGACACATGTTGACTTTGCACAGCTCTTACCTGTAAACCAAAACCACTCGTCCCCCATGGTGGCTGAGTATTCTCCACACATTGGGACCCCTATGGGCAATGGGTCGCATTTCGGCCAATTTCAGGATCCTACATCCGCTCGCCCAATTTCAGGGATCCATATACATTTTGCTTAGCCATCACACATGATCTTCACACCCAAAAAGCTTAAAAAGGACCATCTTTGGGGCAGCGAGCCCTTCGTTTGGACCGCCCAAGATCTCCGACTCGCCTCGCTCGAAGATCCGGCGCGCTGCTCCTTCTCAGAGCCTGGCGCGCGATTCGCGAGATGCGCTCCGCGAATGACCCGGGGTGTTGGGAATGAACCCAGGCATGGCCTGTTGGAAAAATCGATGGCCCGGGCAAATGGCGTCCCCATCTAAACCAGGGTCCTCTATTTTTCAAGCAAACCACACAAAAAGGACACCTGTGAACCAGGGGTTCCCTAAAAGCATACAATTGAGAGAAAGTATTATGCTCTTGTTTGGGGTATGATAAAAATGAAGGAACTATAAACATCAATCTTGGAAGAAGTAGAGAGTGTTTTAAACAATCTTTGCATTTCCAAATCAAGACAAAGGAAAAACATCTATTACTCACTATAAATTACTCAATACTTATTATTCAAATGAGAATTGGAATGGCCCCGAGAACAACACCATCCATCCTTTTGTGGTTTCCTTTCAGGGGACCAAGGCCCGTGTTTCTTTCTTGCTGCGATATTTGTGCGGAAGGATATTTCCGAGTCCGGGTGTTGGTCCCGGTCGCCGCAAAGGAAACCACATAGGCGTTCCCCTTTTCCCAGTCCCTGAGCACCAGCAAGCCTTGGGCCACCTAGGGTTTGGGGAAGGGGTCTGCCCAACATGCGTACCCCTCAGACGCTTCACGGGATAAGAAGCATGAAGCATCTGGAGGGGTCAAAAAGCTGACATGATTTCAGCAGTTTGGACGCATCACCACAAGTTATATACATGGATTTGTGAGAAACAACCCTTTCTGTGATACCACGGTCCTTGATTCCCATTACTCCTTGCAACTTGTCATGTTTCGAGGAAGATCCCATTGGTATCACACAAAGTCTTCAGAGCCCACTTCCCACAGCAATACAACCCTAGAACTGGAGTTGGCTGCCGTGCCCTTGCGTACCCCTGAGTAACAACCTAAAGGTTGTACTATGGTACCCCATTCAAAAGCTCTGCCCCTTGCACAACCCCCGAAATTCAATAAGGAGCCCTCTGAAGCTGTCTACCAGTGTTGAGCTTTCAACCCGCACTGCCTGAACTTCCCCTCGTCGCGCACCTCCCGGAGCTCTGGACGGATCGCAGCTTGCGCGGGGAGGGAGGGATCGCCGAAGCTGGCACCTGCCCATGGCTGGCCAGAGGGTTGAGCGGCCCAAGTTCCCCATGGTGGCTGGAGAGTGAGTCACGCCATTTTATATGTGATATGTGTAACTGGGTATTGCAAAATCTGGAATATAGGCTAAGGATCCATTTGTTATGCGACTTTCAAACCCATGCGCAAAAGGATCGATTCCTAGGTTGGATACTATTGGCTCGGCAGAAAAAGTCAACCCTTTTTGCGCCTTGAACAAAAAGCTGCAAAAGCAATGGCAATCATTCAGTTGAAAAGTTTGCCCACTCAGGCCTGCGCGACCCTAAATAGATTCTAACAAAAATTGCAAAAGGAACCCAACAAATGGGGGTCCCCTGAAACAAAGAGACACGCCATGAAATGGGCTCTGCTTTTGCTCTTTGGCTGAACTCTCCGAGCGTCCGGGCAGGACTCGGATGCATCAGTTCCTGCAAAACGCGGCAACCGCGTGTCACTGCTTTGGTTTGTGGGAGATACGATGTCTCCCAAATTCACCATGAAACTTTGACCGAAGCCTGGCCCCGCCTTTGCCTAGGGAGTCTAAGAAATGAAACCTCTCCCTTCGTTTGGTTTATCGGCATGGACCCCTGCCTGGTATTGATCGACGGGCGCAAAAGAAAACAAACAGAAACAAGGAAACAAACAAAGAAAACCAAAAAACATCGACAGCGGACAGGGGCCAAAGGCTGTTCAACGCGTGCCGGCCTGTGTCATCCGCTTCATCTTGACTTTGACCCAGAACTGCGGCGCCCGCCGGCATTGTCAGCGCCTCACTGCGATGGATGCTTCCTACATAAAATCGCCTCAAATGAGGAAAAATGGATCCAAAGTATGTGGGTTCCTTTAGGTTTCTAAATAAGAGGGTCCCCCCAAAAGAAGACACACCCACATGACCTGGGATAGTGACAAGGGCAACCCTTAGGGTGCACTTTAAGCCATGGTTCCCTTACTTCCGCAGCTAGATTCGGAAACCAATATGCCGCCTTAAAGGGAAAAATAGGTGCTCAAGGACCAGTTTTCACAACCCGACAACCTGAGACGCTGTCGGTTCATCTCCCGCCTGCAAAGGGATCAAGCTCGACATGTCCGCGGACTTTCGCCTTTCTGTGATCACCTCAGCGAAGCTTCGAACAGTCGCCGATCGCCAGATCCGGGCAAAACCTGCGTGCAAAGATCGCAGGGCTGCATGCCACCAACTAGCCAACCGACCGACCAACCGACCGACCAACATAGTCAGCCAATCAAGCATGCCAACAAACAGGAAGCCAACCCGAGCCAACCACGCCCACGCCGCAATGGTACTGACAAATTCGATGCCAAGCTCAACCACAAGTCTGACAAGTACACGCTCTGTTCCTGGCGCGCTCAGGCATCTCCTTTGGGCAAGGATTTTGTGGCCGCAGCGTCCTTTGAGGAAAACAAGTGGGACCGCATTTTAGAACCACCACTGAACCCATGTCCAAGAAACCCTGAGCTCTGACCACGAGAGTTCCCTCAGCCTGCGGCGAGGTTCACGGTAGCCATGGCCATAGCCTCGCAAAAAAAAAGGCGCCCGACTTGGTAGGGGTGTGTTTTATCGGGGATGTGTCTCAGAATTGCAGGCAAAACACCACTCCGAAAAGGGAACGGAAAAAAGGAAAAGAAAAACAACACACTCAATGATGAAAATCGGGGATGTCCAAACATGGGGAATGTCTAGCTATGGCAGCAAACGACCGAAACAAAATTGCCAACTTCAAGATACGCAAATACGGGGCACTAAACATTTGGCATCAAACCGCGTTTTGCTCCTTCTTAGTTTTCCCCTTCAATGTGATTCAATGTGATCAAAATTGTGGTCCGACCATGGATTTGGCCACACGGGGCTTGACAAAATGGGACCAGCTGCCGAACACCCGCCGCAAATTTTTGAGGCGGCACCTCGTTTCGGGTCCCAGAAAGATGTTTCAACCATGCGGGGTCAGCCTCGCTCAGCGACTTCTGAGCTGAACAGATCTGACACGGAGCACTTCTTGGGGATGAACGAGGCTAGGCCTGAGGAGGTCTCAAAGTCAGTGGGTGTTGACAGCACCCAGGACAACAAAGAGGAAACTACTCAATGCGTTTTTTTGGGGAAGTCCCACATTGGAAGACACGCCACGTGCAATTCGTGGAATCTACCCAGAAACTCCTGTAGCCTCCCGTCTTTCCCAGCGCGCCTGATCGCGAGGTCGGGTAAGAGCGCGCATCTGAGGTCGTTTCAAGGCCACCACGACCAACACCAGCGCCCCTCTCTTGTGAATTTGCTCAAAGTAGGCAAGCATATGTCTTGCGTCCTGGGTTAGCTCGTACAGGCATGCTTAGAACCCAAACAGAAAGGGTCCCCCAAGTGGAGATCCTTCCAACCATGAGGGTATTTCGAGCTATCAAAGTTGACGGGAAATCCACGGTAGGGTTCTGTGAATGCCCCGTGTTCTGGCTTTGGGGCTCGAAAACATGCGCTTCAATGGGTTGCACGTCACAACACTTCGGGCTACTCAAGCGCGCAGGAGGAAAGCCGCAGTCTCCTTGCCTGATTCCTTTCCTCGACCATCTTCTTCTTGTGCCTGCATGAACGCAGCCAATGAGCAAGCAGGTAAGCAGCAAGCATCGTCATTCTGAGTGGCTTGCCTCATGACGTCAGATACCGATGTAGCTGTCCACACGATGGAGCCTGGTACTCTATCGAAGCACACGCAATTCCCTGGAAAAAAATAAGCATGCTCTCGAAGGAATAGGGGTCCCACCAAGTCTCTGCTCCAACCAAACCATGGCTGCGTGCCAAGACCAGGTTGGTGTCCCTTGAAACATGGACCACACAAGGGCGCTGTGGACACCTATGAGAACATACTCCCATGGCCTCTGCGATTTGTTCCGAACCTCGGCACTTTCCATCGCAACATCTCGCTCGCAAACCCTCGAGGACCTAAGCTGCTGGCTGCACGGAGTGCTCGGACAAGGCACGAAATTGCGCCACTGCCTGCAGCGGAGGACAAAACCAATGACAAATCCTCGGCAGCAGGTACTTGATAGCACTTGGATGTTCAATCTATATTTTTAAGTCGACCAACCAGCGTTGTCTCCAAATAAGCTTCTGCTGCAAGATCCGCAGATGGCGCCTCGTCTGTCTCGTCCTCATCGAGCGGGTCGTCCAAAATCGACTTGTTGCCTTGCATCCTCAGAGCCACGCCACGCGGACGGGGTCCGTGGGTCCGCGGCGCGGAGTGGCGACGAGCGATCGGTCGCGGGCCTCTTTGGTCTTGCTGGCAGCTTTGCACCCTGCCTGCAAGCGGGACAGGCCGAGGCACCCCCAAAAGACTCTCTTGCGAGCTGGTCTTGTGGCTACAGATTTCGCATCGATACAAATTGATGCGATCAGATGTGAACCCTTCCGCGCAGCCAATATCAGCCAATGGCAATCCGCAGGAAACCAACCAGCAACCACCAAACTCTTGTAAGTCTTGCATCCCACCTGCCCCAAAGGTCTTCGGCTGGTGTTCTCGTTTGGCTCTCCTTCCCTCCCCCCCCTCCCGTTTTAAGGCCGCCCCAGCATCAACCCTTTTTGGGATTACCCGCTTCAGCTTGCAGCGCCGCCCGCCTGTGCTGCGCGTCCAGGCCCGGCGCCGGCCGCTCGCGCAGGTTCACGGCCGCGCGGACACAAGCTGCGGCCGCCGAGGCGCGCCGGATTTTTGTCGCTTCAAAAAAACTCCTGCTTAATTTAAAGGGGCGATCGTTTGCTTAGTCAGTGATAACCATGGTACCATGGTTATAACACCCACTCACCATGGCTCAGAGTCTCCCAAGTGGATAAGGCTTGCCAGCCACTTGCATACCCGATCGCTCTGTTGAGTAAAGCGCCCCTTGAACGCTTCGGGTGGCCAAAGTTCAGGGCTGACAAGATGTTCCGAAAAAGAAAAAACAAACACACAAGATCGCCTCTCGATCAAAAGCCATGAAGCGATGACCTCCAACATATGTTTCATTTTGTGTGTGGCTAAAAGCGGTGCAGCTCGCCGAATAGAAACTGAAATTGATGACTCCCCAGCCACACCTTCGAGCAGCTGCCAGTGGCAGCTTCGAGCACTCACGATGCCCCGAAGTCCAGGGGTCCTGTTGTCACTGTACCCAACCACGCCTGTCATCACATCATCTGGACCTCGACGGTTCCTTGCGAGAGCTCTGAGAGGGGCTGTATCCCAAGAAGATGTCTGGGACTCTTGGAACCTTTCGCTCAACTGGAGAGCCGAAGACAGGGGGTTCAAACCGTCCAACCAGCGAGGCGAAATGAGTCATTGGCTTCCGACCTGCTTGTTCTGCGCGAATTGAGCGTTGCGCTGCTCGTTTTGCAACCGAGTCTTGGAGTCTGGAATTGGCCTAGGCCGTAGGCCTTTAATGCCAAAAGGGGTGGCCCTGGTTTGTCAACTGGGAATTTCTGATGGGCTCTGAGGCGGCCCGTAAAACGAGTAGAGATCGAGAGTTTGGCCCGAGCACGAATGCAAATGTTTGAGACAAAGATGATCGTCTGATGGGCAGAACCTCCAAGGAGACCGAAAGGAAACTCATCATGTGAACCTCCAATCCCAATGTTAGTCTTCCAGCAAACAACAGATTGCCCGCATCCCATCTTTCAGCTCAGCCCACAACCACCCAAAGACACCCCCAACCAGAAAGGGACAATCCCTGTCCTTCTTGCCATCCACATGGGCGGTACTTTACACAGGAAAAGGGCAACCGAAGCCCTTGAGGGTTCCCTCACTTAGACACTCCCATGTTGAAGCCGCGTCTGGAAGAATCAATCTCGTGTTGAAACTGCCGGTGGTTGCTAAATCTGGACCATTTCCCAGTCCCCTATACACACATCCCAAAAGGAAACTCATGTCGTGGCCTTTTCAAAAGGTGATCAAGGGCCCCTGAGATCTCCCCAGCCCTGAAAGCACAACTTTCGCGAGAAAGCTACTGCCGTATCAATCTGGGGAGTACCCTCCCGTCCATTAACACATTAACACGGAACCTGACAGAGGCGTCCTGGTTTGGAGCATTTTCCTTTAAAATGGAACCTTTGTCGGGTTCCATGTTAGTGGGCAGGAGGCTAGGAGGGGCTGAGTGGCTCATTTTAATGAGTAGAGGTCCGTACGCAAAGACCGGACTCGGATCAGTTTTGGCGTCCTGCAGCAGATGTGAAGGCACTCGATGAGCTCGCTGTAGTTCTGCTTCCAGTGCCTGGTGAGAAACCCGTCCAAGCGGGGGGGGGGTTCAGGAAAACCAGAAGGAAGGCGGAGACTCTTTTCGAGACTCCAAAACGGGAGTTCTCGGGGGAAGCCAAAAAGAACAACTGATTTATACAATGCGTTCTGTGCTTTCTTTGGTGCCTCAAAGAGCCACGCAAGGCGTCTGGTGTTCGCTGCTGCCACAATGCCCTGGTAAGACCAAAACGAGTTGCTAACAAAAATGCCGATCAAAGGAGTCCAATTCCCTCTTTGAGAGCCGCTGATTCACCTGGGCAGCATGAGCCACATCCCCTAGCTCATTGTTCACCATTATCAAGCTCAAAGGAACTAAACACATCCACATCCACAAGCATGAGAACCTTTGCACAAGTGCCACCAAGTCTGCGTGCTCATCCCTCTAAGGGAGTTAGCTACGTTGAGACCTGATCACGTGTAGTGTGTCTTCTTCGTTGTCTCGTTCCAGCTCGTCTTTGTTGTGTGGTGCTTTGTCTCTTCTTCCTCCTCCTCCTCCTCCTCCGCATTATTTGTCCCCCCCTCTGTTTTTTTCACTTTCTTCCATACGCTCAGGTGGCAATGAACAATAGCATGCCTACCAAGGAACAGGGGAAACATACAATTGCACAATCAAACCATGTTCTCTTCGTCTTCGTCCTTCCTTCCCTCAGAGGGGTGGACTTTATCTAAGGTGCCCTCTTACCAGGTGCTTTCAACTAAGGTCCAACAAGAACAGGTGACCGTTGAGAAGCTGACACCTTTTTCAGAGGGCACCCCAGTCACCCGATAGTCGTCCATGCAGTTAGCTTTTGTATTTCAGGGCTCCCCCCACCAGAAAATCAGAGTTCAAGGCAGGTAAACGAAGGGGCAACCACTCATTTTTGGCTGACTTCTCCCTTGGGTTTCTTCGTTTCCCTTGACTTCCCATCTGGGCGTGGGTCCAAAACATAGGCACCCAACCCATACCCTTCGTTTCCCGCTCTTGTTCCGAGGCACTTGATGCAGGTGGCCATGGCATCATAAGGCTGCTGCGCATTGCCGGCACAGCCTTGCCACGGAGAGACGGGGTCCGAAACGACTTCAGAGGGCACCCTTAGGTTGGTTGGTTCAAGCCGGAAAGAAAACCCGTTTGGGGAAAGGGGAAAAGGAAAGAGGGGAAAAGTGCGATTTTGACATAGCCAACAAACTTGCTCCAAGAGACCTGAGTAGACAGTTGGTGCCTGGTGGGCAATTCTCTACCCTTTGGTTTGATCCTCTTTGAGATGCTCGAGCCCCACCTCCAACACTCCTTGAGTCCCTGAGCCCATGCAATTGCATTGCTAAGCTAAAAATGGGCAGCCAAAGTGTTTGAGTAGCCTGGCCAGGCAAGGGGCTGGAGGGATTGGTTTCTGGAGCGCCCCCCCCCCCCGCATGGCCCCGCGGTAGACAACCGGGTCTTGGGGCACAATACGGGTTGACAAGCAAGTGTTCAAACGGGGCAGGGTTGTTCACAAATGAATCCAACCCCACCCCCTACCTTTCCACAAGTGTAGCTGTGTGGCAATGTGTTTCCCTCTTGATAGAGGCAACAAAAAGGTGTCAGAGCTGGCGGCTCTATTCATCCATCCACTTTGCTCACTTCCTAAAGTCCAGGAACTCGGGAAGTGAGTTTCATGAGCATGTCCACGTTAGGCGCCCCATGCACGCTCCCGCGCCATCTCCCACACTGGGCCCCGCACCTGGCATGGACATGACCACCAAAGCTTTGTTGGCCTGAGGAACAAACCCGGTCGAGCGCAGCCGGAGCACGGGACCGAGTGAAGCAGCTGGTGATGTGCCTCTCCACTTCCTGCCTGAAAATTGGTCTTGCATCGGTCTCGGTTTTGGACGGTCCTGTGTCGGTTTGTTGTGGCAATAATGCCAGGTGTGCATACAGGTGTGTAGTTTTTGGAGGTTGCTTGCTTTTAGGTTTTGTTGCAAAGGGAAGCTAAATTAAACGAAAACGAGAGCTCATGTCCGGCTCCGAGTGCCTGGTCTTCTTGCTCCGCCAGCACCTCCTTGATGGCTCGGGCGGCCAAAAGGAAGCCTCGGCTCCGGGCCGGCTGAAGCTGGCGATGCCAAGTCTGGGTTGTGGTTGTGCGGGGTTTCCCTGCATTCCGAAGGAGACGCCCCTGCTGTTTATTCCGCTTCGAAGGAAGCAACAAGAAAAGGCCCCCAGGTCCGAACGATTGGGAGCGGTTCTTTTGGAACCCGCAAGCGCCAACTTGAGCACCTCTTGCTCCCAGTCACCCCTTGCTACCCACACCCTGCAAGCCTGATTTGTGTGATCGCCCCAATGCACAGGGGAAAAATGGTGGAGCTCAAGCGAGAGTGGTCGCAAGGCTAATAACGGTGTGGGGCAAGGATGCTTTCACGAGCCAGTCTTCATCGAATCGGTTGGCGTGTTCCCAGTTGCCGTGCTACTCACATTCATGAAGTAGGCCCGGAACTGGCATCCAAACCCTTGTCTTCGATCTGTTGCCTTTGCGACAAGCTCAAGTCTAACCAACCTGTTTGACAATTGGGGTGTCTTGTCTTAAGCAAACCCTTTGGTTTTGAAGGGACACCAAAAGGAACACCAAAATCCCATGTTGTGGAGCTTCCACTGGGTCCTCCAGCAGAGAGGCTAGAATAAGGGTACCCTTTGTTCTGTGGTCTATTTTAGTAGGGGAACCCTCCCAACCAACAAAGAGTGAGAAAGGGCACCTAGATGGGGACCTAGTCCAACTACTTTTACATTCGGGTGATCGCCGAAGCCTTCGGCTGAGAGGCGTGAAGCCACGGAGTGGTACTCGGTCAACTGCTCGTACCTTTCCACGCTTCCCATTGGTCTGGTTTTTTTGGAAGCCGGTCTCAAAGATTATTACCGGTATGGGTGTGAAGTTGAATTTGGGACCCGCTTGTGTCAAAACTCATGGGTGGATCTATGTGTTTTGACAACCACATCTAAGTCGGTGTTCCAACCATGAAAAAACAAAGATAACAGCCCTCTTCACATCCCCAGGGCTTGTTTCATCTAGGCAAGATTCGGGCACTGGTTGGAAAAATACCATCTCCAACACGCAAGAGGAGATGTCAGAACTCTTGGGTGATGAGACCTCATCAAGTCACCGCCAAGTTGGGCAAGGTTATAGCAGCTTCAGAGGGAAACCGAGCAAAGGGGGGAATGACGATCGCCACCATGGATTGACAAAATTGCTCTCCAGCTCTTCTGTGTTTGGCAAGCCACACGGCTGAGCTCGGTCCTCCTCTCGGATAGTCAACTCTGAAACTTGGAACGATCTTTTAACCACCTATGGGTGTCTTGTTTTTGATGGTGCCCTTTTTCGGGTGTGGTCTGAAACCAAAAGGAACCCACCAGACTTGACTCAAGCCCGGGGCACCAGTCCACGGGCGGCTTCGTCTGGTAGTGGACCTGGAATTCGAGGCTTGGAAACTGGCTGGGCGCCGGAAGGCTTGAGGCGGAGGCCCTCTGCATCATCGTCCGCTGCCGTGGCATGGACATCAGGATCACCGTGATGCGCATGGGCTCCTGAGAAAAAAAAAAGAGGCGATACTTGCCCTTCAAACAAAGGGAGAGAGACCCTGGATGGGGGGGGGGTACCTACTGATTGATCGTATGGTTGGGTTTTGTGTTATGTTAGGTTGTTTGGGTTAAATGACATGTCGACATTGGCGGGATTCGGGTGGGTTAGGCTTGGGTTAGGACTTGGCCGGCACCGGGTTAGGGCTGGTTCCGGTTGGTTTATGGATGATGTAGGTTGGTTTAGGCGGTTGCTTTGGAGCTGATTTTACGGGCTGGTTTAGGTGGGTTAATAAGACTTAGGGTGGGGTTTAATTGGGGTTGCTTTCAGGTTGGTTTAGGTGGGTTAAGAAGGGGTTAAGGCGGTTGTTGGTTTAGTGATTTAGGGGTAGTTTAGGGCTTCGATGGATTGCCAAAGACTCCTGTTTAATGAAGGAAAGACTTGGCAGAGCAGCCCAGGAAGATGATTTGACAAGGAAACATGAACCACGATATGAGCTGTCCAGGAAACTGCAGAAAAATCGCCAACCATGGCAAGTGCGATAATCGAAGTTTGCTTGATTGAAGTGACTAAGTGGAAAGTTGTCAGAAATAAGCTCCTTTTGGGCCTTTCACGCCAGGATAAGTGTCCCGGCAAAATGAAGTTTTTTTGCTTGAGCCACAGCCGTCTTGAGCACACGTCAGCAAAGATCAACAGGATCAGGCTATTGCCAGCCTGCGATGTCGTGCAAATCGATGGGCCCAATGAAGGAGCGACCTAGCTGCCAAACTATGCAGAACAGCTGGTCAAAAGTTCAACCCTGCAGCTTCTAGGATGCACTCTGTACATCTCTTTACACGGGTTCCAAAATGGAACCCCAAAATGAGTCCCTTTGGCTCCAAAACAACCCCAAAACTGTCTTTACATCTCTGTAAAGCTCTGTACCATGCTCCATCATGGGCTCCCTTCTCCACCCGTGCAACAAGGCGATGTTGGCGAACGGTGACCTTGAAGACCAATGTAGGGAACGCTGGGCTATTCTTCACACGGCTCAGCGTTTACAAGGTGTAATGGTCACGTGGACGGGCAGAGCTTCCAACCGCTGGAAACGATACTTCCATCCGAAAACCAGGAGATGGTGGTCTGGGGGATGACTCCCTCAGGCCCGTTCTTGCCCGAGAAGTGCGTAAGGCAGCCGAAGGACAGTTTGTCAACTCCGAACTCCGTGGAGAAGTTGGCCACTCGGATGGGTACTGCCGCCGACGTGTTCACGGCAATCTGGCAAGACTCCGAATTGCCATAATTGGCCGGGAAGTGAGGGCTCAGAATGCAATTGAAGGAATCCAGCGTGCAGTTGCCCTGCACCACAGCCCACATGGAGTTTTTGAAGTCGACGCCTGCAGGGTGCTCATCCTGCGCGTAGACCGTAAGCACTTGCCCCGCGAGCACGTCGTCGATCCATGACACGACGCCTGTGGTCGTTTGAAATGTTCTCGATAGGCGGTTAGAAGAGTGGCTAAAAGTTTGTGGTTCTAAAAGGTTTATGGTTGAAAGGATAGTGGCGAGTAGATAGGTGGTTAACATGTAAAGGTTAGTGCATAAAAGGTTGGTCGTTAAAAGGCTGGACTGCTGGTGCAAAGGTTGAAAGCCTACTTCAGTCACACGGGTGTTTCTAAAAGGGTCCCCTGTTTGGATGGTTTAAAACGAAACCAAAAGGAAGCCAACCACGCGAAGAGCGTCTCTCTCATTTTGATCAACCCCCTCAGCCAAGCCGCTGCGCACTCGACTGTAGACCCCCGGCAAATTGGGGAAGGCGCAGCCGTGGCCCCAGCTGGTCACCCCCCGCACCACGAAGCGGCCGTTTTCCCTGGCTTCGGCCACCCCTCGTTTGAACCATGCTTTCAACTACTCTTGTGTCAACCCCGTTGGTTTCCCGTCATGAAGCTTATAAGTTAATTCCATGGATCAAAATCCTCCACCATTCCATTTAGGACAGGGCCTCAAAAAAAGACATCCCAACTCTTGGATGAGTGAGAACCCCACCGTCCAAGCACCACCCGCACTTCTCGCGCAAAAAACAAAAACACGGGGCTCATGCGCCTGCAGACCAAAGGCCCCCCAGAGTCCCCCTGACAGGTGTCGGTGATGCCCAGGTCTGACACCCCGCTCGCGCAGAGCATGGACCCCGTCACCGTCTTGCCGTCCGCCGTGTAGTTGGCTTCGCACTCCAGGGAGTCCAGAAGAGTGACCGGCGCCTCCTGAGGGACCAACAAAAGAAACAACCAAACAACCAACCAAGCCAAACCAAGCCAAATCAAACCAAACCAACAAAGGGGGGGAAACAAACAATAAACAAACAAACAAACAAACAAACAAACAAACAAACAAACAAATCAAACAAACGAACCCCCAACAGTCATGGACGCCGACAGGCTTTTCAAGAGAACCGTCTTCCAAAAGCCCTTTGTCAGCTTCCATCATTGTCGGAAGGGTAGGCATGAAACACAATGTTCCTTTGGAAAATCAGCAAGTTCTCCACTTGAGTGGTTGAACCCATTGCGGGGAACCATTGCGCATGTGGCAAACTTTTTAGCCCCGCGAAACATGAGTGGTTTCCTTTGGGCTCCCTGTAGCAGCCGCAAACAAAAAGGCGCCACAGCCCCAACACCCCGATGTCGACGGTGGACCTTTTCGCTGCGCTAGGTCCCACCTGCAGCACCTCCGGTCGCGGCCCCGAGGACTGCAGAGCGCCCCAGCCGGTGATGCTGCACTCCGTGCCAGTGATCTCCTCGGACCGCGGCAAGCACGCCAAGCCGATGCACGCGTTCAAGGGCAAGGCCTTGTCCAACTGCATCAAAGCGAAGTCATAGTCATTCACCTGCCCAAAAGGACTGCCGCTGCGATACGATGGTTGGAAATCGAACCCTCCAGGCGAAACATTGGTGCGCACACATTTGTCCAATCTGATATGTTCGACACGCAAACAAATAAGGGCGAGTAACAACAATCTGCTGGTAGAGAGGATGCACGAAGATCTTCCGCACCCTCCTCTCCTCTGAGGTGGTGCTCAACTCCTCTCTTCGCCAGCTGCCGGCCGCTACCTGAGCCACAGCTTCATGCGAGGTCAATGGACATTCAACGGGTTTACTGTTGGTTCTAGCAGGAGGTGTGAGATCCTTGTTTCGTCCTCCGGTCAAAACCCGTTTGTGACCTCCGGCCTTCCGGGGTTTTGGGGTAATTCCGTAACCCCTCCCGGACTCAAACCAGAAATACGCCCCAAGCCAATATCTCCACACCCTTCCACTCCCACAAAGCAAACCTACCCAGGACAGTTCATGGGGGTCATCCTCTCATCCGCGACAGTTTGGCGACACGACGCCTGCAGCTCCCTCACTCCGCATGGCGTCTTCACATCCTCCACGCAGTGCGCGGCCGTTAGCACCCAGCCGGGCGCCACTAGTGTGCCCCCACAGAACTGGCCCTCCCTGTCCTTCTTCAGGCTCACCTGCCACCTGTGGACGTTTTGGTTCTACCAATATGGGGGTATGGGGTTACCAGGTGTTGTTTCGATTTTTTTCCCATCCAAGCGGGGCCCAACAATGAGTACCACTTTTCTGAGCCACGGCCGTATGCTTGTACATCTTGTACTTTGTTGATAGAGGTTCTATAATCCTCAAACCAGGCAGATCCTGAAATCTAAATTCGCCACTGGCTACCCACATAGAACCCAACACCAAAAAGATGAAAGTCTCTGGAGAAAATGAAGGGGTCGAGGTCGAAAACATATCCAAGCTAAAGTACCACACGCGTACATGTTCTTTCTGGAGGAAACCAAGCACTAAGTGGTCGCTTCTCCCCCACTAAAACAACACATGTCACCATCCTGTTGCAGGCGGCTTGCAACTCTGTTTCCAAAGGGGGGGTCGTCAAAAAAAGGTGCGCCCCCCCAGTTGAGCTCCTGGTCTTGTGCGCCACCTTTAGAGTCCGTCCATAGCTTTGACCACGACCCTGCTGGTCAACCTTTTTGGAAGGGCCAATGCTGTTTGAGGGGTCTATACGGTGGATGCCCAAGAGATGTTGCAAGTAAACCAACCGCAACCCACAAAACCACGGGTTGAAATGCAGCATTTGAAGCAGTTCCCTTGTTCACCATGGCAAAACTGAGGGCATCCACCCTAGCTTTGACCTGGCCAATCTGGCCGACACCCGCCTCCAGACGCACGCAGCAGCATCACGCCCGTTCACCACCCGCCGCCGGGCGGCCCCTTCGCGCCCGCACTGCGCCCAATCCTCAGCCAACCCCCGTCGGCAAAGTTTTGGCAGGACTGACGGACAAAATCTGTGGTACCTTTACTGGTGGTCTACCCCTGTGTTGCGTCCATCACGGGTGCAGGCTTTTGTCCTTAGCAAGTACTGTAGCTTCCAACCGTAGGAAACAAGGGGTTGCTTGACTCACAACTATAATCTGCTAGGTACAACCAGTAGAAAGTTGGCCCGAAGGAAACCAAAGGATTGACCAATTTCCCATAAGCACCCCAGTGCCGTGCCCCGCGTTTTTGTACATCGAAGGCAAAAAAACGCTTCGGCTCAAAATGAGCATGTGCTTTGAGAGTACACTGAGTACACTGTTCATGGCTTTTATTGGGAATCGAAAGAAAACCCACCCAGTGGGGTCCATGTGGAGGCCACACGGTGTCGTGCAGTTTGGCGACACCCCGCCTTGGCCCCCCGCAGGTTCTCGGCTGCCGCCAACAGCAAAGGCGCCAGGAAACGCAGCCACTGCATGAAACTAAGGGTCACCTGGATTGGGAGCCTTGAGCCGAAATACTCACTTTGCAACTTTGGACATATTTGCAATGGTGGCGCTCTTTACCTCGATTTCCCATTTGCCAATCGCATAGGCGAGGTTTCACCCTTTCTAAGGGTTGCTTTTTGAAGGGAAGCCAAGGGCAAAAACAAAGAGGTCCCCATTCGGAGACCAATCCAATCTGTTCGATTTCGTCCAGGTGTCCGTTGCCACCATTCCACACCCGACCGCCGCTCCTCGAGGAAGGGATAGCCCTGCTCTGCAGCGCCGCGGAAGAGAGCGACCTGCAAAGCAGCGAAAAACCACTCGGTCGCTTTCCAATGGGAAGGTTGGGGGTCGCTTTATCGCGTCCAAGTAAAAACATAGCTCACAGGAATCTCAAGCCTGGTAGCCCCAATCAGCCTACTGATCCAGCGCCCTATGCCCGCTTCGGCCTCCTTGAATCGCGCCACGAAGGGTGTTTCCTGTGCCATGGACGATCAAGCAGCCATTTTTAGGTCATCTCAAGATGAGGAAATCCACTGTGGACCTCCAAAATGGTTGGCCCAACTCAAAGTGCCAAAGTGGTGTTACCCCGACAAAGACATGGCCATGTCGCTTTGTCCCTACTTGGCCCCTCAGCTTGTCAGAAAATGACTCAAACCGCGTTGCTTCACCAGCCAAGTCGGGGCAACATTTCGGCCGAGCTGAGTCCACAGTTGGGCAAAGCGCAACCGGTGACCCCGGTAGAAAGAGGGAACGAGTTGGGGGTGTTTTTGGGGACCTCTAAGTTTGATCCTTTTTGGTTGGTTTCAAGGAAAGGGACGACTGATTGTGACACCCATCTCTTTTTTTGTGTCTGACCCCCATTTTGAGTGGGAAAGCCACCACACGACAGGGGACAAAAAAGGGAAAAGGGTGGAATCCGCTGAACAACTGGCTTCCAGGCAGAAAACCGTTCCCAGAAAACTGACCTCACGGAAGCGGTTCTCTACAAGCCACCTTTGAACATCACCCTCAAAAGGAACAGGTTCTGACTGTGCAAAGTTTGATCTCCCATTCTTGTCCCGTCGTCAATGTTTACCTAGTTTCTGCGTGATAATGATGGGCTTCTGGAATGAATGGTTGGGCTGTCACCCAGAAACTCACTTGTTCTACGAACCGCTTTGAGGGTGGTCCAGCCATGAAAATTCATACCAAGCTTGGGCCTTTGCATGACCACCAGACCCCCCGCGAAGTGAAACAATGACTCACTTAGCGGTCGCGACTTGCCTTTCGATGGCTTAAGCCCAGGCCGAGCTCTCGGCCGTGTCTGCCAAGTAGTCCCGCAGCGTGCTCTTTGGCCGGCCGTCGTGCTGGCACCGCTTGGCTCACGGAGTCGAAGCTGAAACCCGAGGAAGCCTAGTGAAGTGGATGTCATCCACAGGTTACACCTCCTTTCCCTTTCAATGGGGAAGGTCCTACACGAAACTCCCAGCTGGGCCAAAGCTGGTGTGCCGTTCGATGCAACAAATGCGCAGCGGTGCGGGGGGTACTTAAAAGGCTCAGTGCTTAGTTTGAATCCAGATTGAGGTCGAGCTGCGCCCGATTAAACTGTCACACCCGTCCGATCCAATCAGGTTGCCAAAAAGCAGGGACTGTTGGCGCCAAGGCGATTCATTTGACGTGGTACAAATTGTTTCCTTCCCCAAGACGCCCCAAACTAACAGTAGACCACCATTTTTTGTCATCTTGTCAGTGGCTCATATCACCCCAGGGTCCCAAAAAGGGGAACTATGGCAACCTGACACATGGATCGGAGTCAAAAATGTCGACGCACGCACGAATGCACAGCACCGCATCCGCGCCTGGTTCCACTGGCGGCACCTGGGGTGCAGAGTGTCGTGAGCTAGTCACAAGAAGATCAAATTACGGTGAGCTCATTCTGGGTAAGCTCGAAACCCAGTGGGCAAAGCGAATGCGAAAGCCGCCGTGCGTCTTTGGCTTTGAATTTGTTTGCAGTGTACAATGGTCGATGTCATGGCCCATGGATTGTTCTTGCTAACCCTTACAGGGGTTGTCCAAGTTCCAAGTGTAGACCGACGCCAAGTCAGAGGATTGTACGAATGTTAATTGGGACCCTTTGGTGGACATGATTTACACGAAGATCTGCGAATCTAAAGAGTGTTTCTTCACTGAAACTAAATTCCTCGCCATCTGGGTGCCTTGCGATCTCTTTGTTTCATCAAGGAATCGGCCCAGGTCGCTCCGAAGAAGCCTTGGAATGCGGCCCTGCCTTCAACTGCCAAGAGGTCAATGCTGCCCAAACAAAAC